CCCCTATAAGATCATTGATTTTTCCGTTTTATCTGAATTACATGTTGTACGAGTCACTTAGATTTTACAAATACGTGTGCCGGGCTGTGAACGGCTCACATATTTGTAAAATCTAAGTGACTCGTACAACATGTAATTCAGATAAAACGGAAAAATCAATGATCTTATAGGGGGATCGACTGTATCTCAACAGTGAATTTATTCATCATCATCATCATCATCACCAAAGTCTATATGAATTATAACAAATATATAGCTTAACTTTTTCATTAATGCTGATTTACAATGTATCAAATATTTCAAAAATTATAACGAAAATATAAAATTAAACTCCAGTTGTTAGCAATTTTTATTTAATACTACATGGACAATAAAATCATTTTCTTATATGCCAGATTCTAAAATACATTCTTTAAAATAAAGATTTGGAGATAAGATAATTTATAAGATCAAAATTAAATTTTCCTTGTTTCATATTTATATATTCATCTAAAATCATGACTCAAATATTAGGTTATATTTAATGTTTATCAGAAATTCAACAATTTGTATATAGATACTGATTCAGTAACTAAAAAATAAAGTCAGATATAAAGACTGTTGAAAACTTTAAATTTTATCTCATGATCTATGAACAATAATAAACTGCAATTAGCATGTAACCTTGAGGAAAATCCAAGAATTTTCAGAGAAGGAAACTGTAAATTCTAATTTAATCTGGATAAATTTCAATATTTTCCAGTTGATATTCAATAATTATGAAAATTTACTAGTAAAGAAATATAATCAAAGCAAGAATCATTGATGTATATTATTTATTAACATAGTAAAATAACTGTAGCAAGCTTAAATTACTAACCTAATAATTAAACAACTAAAACTGCTTCTTGATATNTTAACTATCAACAATCTATTAACTATCCAGCAATAAAAACATAAAAAATGTTTTTATTGCTGGATAGTTAAGGTTTATTTTATTTGTAAAAAAAATTAACATTAAATTATAATGAATCAGATTTTTTCAGACAACATTCTACAAACAGTTAGAATTCTTCACAGTGGAATTAAATCAGTTTTTTGTCATATAATAACATCTTAGAAGTTTCAAATCAGAGAAGTTTAGAAGAAACAATCAGAAAAAAATGATTGATTTGATTATCTATCGATACAATCAAATACTTGAAACCAGTACATAGACTTACAAAAGCTCTTAGATATCATATTAGTTACAAGACTTTTTACAGTATCATACCTTACAATGTGCTTTGTGAATATGTATTTGTTTTTGCATTTGGCAACTTATGATGAATTTCCTCATAACTTACGATACGACGTGTTTGTGAATCCTGACCCAGAATGGCTATGTCTATCTAATGCTGGATATTCATCAAATTTTGCTACAATGCTAACTCACAATGTCCTAATTTCTGGTTTTGAACTTATGACAATCCCTACCAGATTTCAAGTATTTGGTTCTATCGATAGATAATCAAATCAATTCAAATCCAAAATGGGGACTGTAAGGGGACCAAAATAGACTATACATTGCTGTATATTGTACTGTCATAAAATTTTTTGAGCTCATTTTCTTTAATAATAAATTAAATAGTACAATCTACAAAAGCTCAGTAAAACTTCTGTATAGAGCTGATCATAGTAAATTACTGTATTGTATATAGTACCTTCTTGTTTTCTGTGTTGGAAAAAACACCCTGATAACTCAAACTTTCATAAACTCAGATAACCTTCATTCCTTATTAGTCTGAGTTTGTGGAGGTTTACTGTATACATTAATACTAAATGTAATTATATGTATTATGTTTCTCTTAAACTGTTTATTTTTTATTTCTTTTTGTGTATTGATTTATTTGCACCTTTCTCCACTCATGTATTTGTTCTAAAATATTCTGACATATTATTATCTTATATTTGACACTTGTTAAAAACATTCTAACAACAAACTAAAAGGAAAGTCACAATCTAATATTTAATATAAATAAAACATTAATTTACTTTTTTGTCCAGTTCTTTAATTTGTTGTTAAATATTTTTGTGTTTTAGGTAGGAATAATGAAGGAGAAATATGATCACAGGTTGCTGTTAAAACATTTACCCTCAGATTTTCGTCAATTTCTGGATCACATCTCTTCTTTAGATTATTATGATCGACCTGATTATAACATGCTGGCAGGTCTTTTTGAGAAATGTATGAAACGTCGCGGTGTGAGAGAAAGTGACCCATTTGACTGGGAGAAGAATTACACAGATAATTCAGTAATAACTACAACAACAACTTCCCCTGCAATTATATCAAAGCCTGCTTTCCCTGGGTAAGTTATAGAAAGTTTTTTTAAGATTCAGAAACAAATACAAGCATTATTAATTACTGTTCATTTGTAGTATTGTTCCACCTGGTACACATGGTACTGATAATATGCTTGATGATAACATCATGGCAAGTTATGAAGATCATGGGGAAAATATTAAACCTGATGGCTATTGTGAAGGAAAAAGTAAAGAAACTCTAGAGAAAGATGATGCCTTACTTAATAAAACTAGTGTGAGGTCACAGATTCCACAAAATAATGAAGGACAAAAACTACCAGATAATGTACAGATTCCTGTATTAAAATGTCCAATGAATGAAAACATCTTCAGTAATACCAATATCATTAAAACTGATCGTAAAGTTGAGGTAAGACGGTATAGATTCATTTAAGAGAAACTTCATATTAATCACATACAAATAACTTATATTATTTTAGTGAATCTGATTATAGATATCGGATCCATATGTAAAAAAGTCATAAACTGAAATGTATAGTATTTAATTTATTTATGTAAATTAAGATAATTATAAATATTCTGTAAATTAATTGAATTTTTAAGAGATGTATTTATTTTTTAAACTATATGCTTATACTAAATATTGTGTATTTAAATGCTTTGTTTGCTTTTATATAATTTGGCTTCCTAACAATTTGATTTCTTATGCAGCCTTTATTTTAAATGTTAACTTTCTCTTCTTATTTTGCTTCTGTAGAAATCAGTAATAAAATTTCATCTAAAAGTAATAAAATTGAGTGTTTATTTTGTAACACTTTCATACTGCCCAGCTAGTTTTGCAAAATAAATTATTTAAGTTTTTCCTTCTTTGTTGTTTTCTTTTATTCATTCACATTCACTCAAATTCTGCTTTATTCTTTTGCCTTGCTCAATGTTTGATTTTATCACATTCTTTGAATCTAACAAAGTACCTGTCATCCAATTTCACTCTTATTTAAAAAAAATCACTTAATTTTTTTAATTTGCCTATTATATATTTTTATATTAGAAAATTGATGTTGAACGAGAAAATGAAGATGTTGGAAAAGAAACTGTAATAAATGGTGATGTAGAAGTTAGGCATCATATATCAAGAAAATCTGAAGGTTACCCTTCTGGAGAACCACCTGGCGAAGAAGTAAAGGGAGAGACATTGTCATCAGAACATCGTGCTAAATTGAGAAAAGAGTTACCATCATTAAAAATTGGAGGATTTCAAGAAGAAGTTATGGTTGGTGAAATGGAGAGTCCACAATGTAAAGATGGGGAAGGAACCCAGCAAGAATCAAGTAACTATGCAGGGGACCTGCCAAAAACCACTCAAAGTGATATGAGTAAACATACTCCACCCATAAGTACACCACCCACAGATTCAAAACGAGATGGTAAAGATCAAGGTTCTAAAGAGCATCGACGTGCAAGATTTCATCCAAGTACAAAACCTCGTTATAGAGATGTATCTATAACTCAATTTGCACTTGCAGATGATGATAATATCTCTGTTCTTCAACAAGTCACAAAAGGTGGTGCAGCAGCTATGACTCTTGTATCAAAATGGTTAATGTCTTTTGATGACAGTGAAGAGACTGATCCAGAAATGGATGAAAATATCCAATTAATATCTCCTGAACATCAGCAAATGGGTGAAGATGAAAAGCCTGTAGCACTGCATATAGATGATGTATGTAATAAATCTAGTGTTATAAATTACACAGAAAGTATTAATGTATCTGCAGACAGTAACAGAATCCAAAAAAGAGAAAGAAGGCGAAGAGTTCATCGCTCAATGTCACAACCAGCTACATTACCTCCTTATGTTATACCTGCAGGATTATTGCTTGAGCAAGGAACTGGGAATACATTTGTAGGTTTGACAGGTTTGCCATTTCCAGGTTCAATTCCTGAAGGTCTTCCACGTGTCTGGAGTTGTCCAGCTATTGCTTTTCATCTTCGTTCAAATTTACAGCCACCTCTAAAACAACAAGCATCATTTGATGAAAATGTATATGAAGTAGATATAATGAGAAATGTTGCTGTTAAGCAATCTGCAGAACAAATAGCAACTAAAGAAGAAGAAAGAAGAGCTTCGTTACCACATATATTTATGACATCAACAGAAATACAGTGCCAATCTAATAATACTCAAAATATTAAAACTGCCACAGGTAATGAAAAAGTTACTACAGTTAATGAAAAAGTTAAAACTCAATTTTTAGATGTGCCACAGGAGAAAAAGATAAAAGAAACAAAAGGAGTAGAAGTAGATAACCAAATTACTGTATGTATAAATAATATCAAGAAAGAAGGTGATTCCCTTAAATATTTAGAAACTACAGAAAACACCATAAGTAAATCAGTACAGAAATCTTCAAACCCCCATAGAAAAGGTATTTTAAAAAAATCGAATACCGAAAAATCAGTTCCAACTGCTCTCAGAAGTAAAGATTCTATTGAACAAGAAAAGCAAAGAAGTCGTTCTAGTTTAGAAATTCAGCAAGATCATATTGATGACTTGAAGCAAAAATCAATGTTAAGAGTAGATACTTCAGAACAGAAAGATAATTGCATTTGTACTTTGCAGATTGATGGTAGAAGAATTCACAAATCACCTGCAAGGAGTGGTGATAGCAAAAAAGCAAAAATTAGAAATATTAAAAACAATCCATCTAGTCCTTTGGATTCACATCACAAAAGAAGTAATTATGCAGAAACTAGTGATAAAGTATTGAGAAAAAGTGCAGATTACAAGAAAGAAAGAGGTTTACAACATTCAAAGAGTTTATCAAAGGTAAAAGAATTGCGTGACAAAGAAGGACAAATAAATTCTGGTTATGATAAAAAATTAAAAATATCAAATGAGAAACATAGCAAAGATGTTAATCATATCTTAGATCAACAAGAGCAAATTATTAAACAAAAATCATCAAAATCACAGAATGGCGAAATCATTAAGGATTTTCCTACAAGAAAGAAGTCGAGTAATATGATGCAGCTGGACATACAAGAAATACCAATTTTCCAAAGGAATGGTAGAACTGATAAAGACAATAATATTAATGAAATAAACAAACAACAAGATGATATTGGTGATAAGGTACATCTTAATGAGGCAGAAATAATTGAATCTATGATGATACAAAAAAAAATGGATTCTAAAAGGGATGGAGATTGTGAAATTAAAAAGATAAAAGAAGATATTCCACATTATAAAAGAAGAATTTCAAAAGATCATCATAAATCTAAATCGTCATCAGAATCTAAAGGTCAAGAATTAATTAGGAGTAGCATGGATGAACAGTTATTAAAAAAAAGCAACCCTTTTCAATTTGGACATTTAGAAAGTAAAAATCAGGAAGAAATGCCAAGTAATACAGACATTACTCGTTCCCCTATTAATGAAAATGTAAATTTAGAAAAAACAGGATGTGGAATATCTTCAGATCAAGTCCAAATTTTAGAAAATGAAACAGAAAATTTGTCTAAATTTGATGATTTATCTAATAAGGTTGATAATGGTTACGTGAAAGAAATTAGTTCAAGCTCAGGGAATGTTCAACAAACTGGTGCCTATGTTAATGAACAGAAAGAAAAGATTTCAGTGAGAAGACGAAGAGAAACTGACAAATATGTGAAAGATGAAAGTGAACTGAAATTATCATTCTCAAGAAGACGACATCGACCTACTACAATGGTAGGTGAATCGCGCATTCCACGTCCTCGTATTAGGCAACAGTTATCTGATCCAGATGGTTGTTTATATGATGGACAGAAAGGACTTTCTTCTGCTGAATCAGAAAGCAATTTGCTTAGTTCTTATCTTTTAAATAAGAAAACTGAAGAATGTTCTAGGGAACAAAACTATGTACTTCAGCAGACTGCATCATCTCCTGCAGTACCAAAGCATATTTGTGAGCAGCTAAAATTGCAACTAAATTCTACAGATAATCAGGATATATCTGTTTTGGTACGAGGACCAAGACCCCCTCCTGGTGATCCTCCTCTGTATGGATGTGTTCCTGCTCGGTAAGTTTATTCTTCATAATAATAATATAAATGAAAAGTATATACTAATTAATGTAGTTACATTTATTATAAAATCAAAGTAGAGAAGTTTATTTTTAATATTAATTAATTAGTTAATTAATTAGAATTGTTTTCTGTGTGTATGTATGTGTGTGATATGTAGGATATTCTAAACTACTAAATTAAGTAAAAGGTGGTAAATGTAAATTTGTAAAATATATTTTTTTTATCACTCTTACTCAGTAAAATACGTTGAAAAATTTGATATCAAGACTTGTTATTCAGTATTTTTCAGATTTGAATGCATATGTATGAAGCTGATATAGAAATATGGAAATATCAGATGGTGATACAAGCATTTAATGAATTTTATTAGCTAGCTATTCATAAAATATGCTGCTGATAGCAAATCTATTAATATTTCTTTAGCTTGCTATTAAAATATTTTATTATTCCACATTATGACTAAAGTAAATGTTTTACATAAATTAAACTAATCAATTATACTAATTTATGTTGAATACTTTAATCATAAAGTGGAATAATGATATATTCTTTAATGATTTAATATGCTTTTTATCGTTGATTGAAAAATGTAAATTCTCTCTCCATTTTTCATTTTTGTGTATATAAATAAATTTTAATTAACATTCAGACAAATTTGAATGTTTTTTGATGAAAATAATTCTAAATCTTTCTCCTCTTCTTTCTTCGGCATTGTTAGTCCTGTTTTTTATGAGATTACTACTATTTACCTAAATGGCTGTTTTATGGCTGGATGTCTTTCCTATTGCCAATCCTTTTCTTTTAATCTGGATTTAAGATCTGCCAGAATCAATAAGTTCTGAGAGGGTTAAGAGAATATGCCAGTCAGAAGTGGATGCTGAACACTATTGTTCAGGACTTTTCAACTTCAATGATTGATTAGAACCAGTATGTTTAGCAAAAATTATAACTGTTATCCTATATCTAATGGTATCATCAAAATTATTAAGATAGAAAAAACAAAAACAAGCTACTAAATGTTGGATCTATTAATTGCTGTGAAATTTGTACCACCTGAATTGACTTGATTTAGTAGTAATTGTCCTAGTAATTAGTGTAAATGATGGAAGTAGTAAAAGTGTATGTGATGCTGTTATAACATCTCAGCAAATTATCTACTTTTTACAATTTAATAAGAATAAATTTTAATTTTTCTCAATTAATTATAGTAATAAACTTGAAAATAACAATTTTAATCAAAATTTTTAATTTGGTATTTTTGAAAATGAAGATTCAAATTATGTAGAATATTTTTTAAGTTCTCATCTTAGAATATCCTGCATAATTAAAGATCAATGATTTGAATGAATTCACAAAGGAATTTAAACAAATTTTAATAAATTAATATTTTTTAATCATTTAAAATATAATTTTTCTAAATTTTTAATCTTTAATAGTAAAATAAATGTTGATCTGAAAGGATAGATCAGATTTATTGTTATTGTAATTTAAACCTGTTTTTAATTAATTGGAATTTTAATAAAAATGAAATAAATAAAATAATTTAAATAATAGCTTATGAATTTATAAAAGCAAACAATTGCATGTTTGAAATGAAGAAACATTTATTCTTTTGTGAATTTAATGTTACTAAAACTTGGTTTATATGATAAATAATTCCAATAATTATGAAGTATAGTAATTTATTTTTATCTTCCCCATGTACTAGATATTTCATATTTCCGTTCAAGGAGGTCGAAATGACCGAAACGTATGCCTGAAATGAATCATTTATTGTGTTTAAACAACGAAGCTGTTTATATTTAATTTTCTTCTGTTAAGATTCATACATTTTTAATTTTTATAATTTGTGAGGAAAAATGATAAAAAGTGAGAGTTTAAAAATAATAGAAAATGTTTTAGAGAAAAAAGGATTTGAATTATTTCCTCTTTATAGACAATGAGTTATTTTTAAACTGTGATTTGTAATCAATTTTTATACTCTATGTTGATTATGTTCAAAGTTTATATATTTCATATTAATCTAAACAATTGCTAGATTTTAAAATCAACTTTAAATGATTTCTATTTACACACTGTCAAAGTTATTAGAAACATCAATGGTTTTATCTGTATATTAAAATTAAAGACATAGATGACATTTATTTCATTATCTGAACATTCATCTCTGATTAATTTATCCAATAGATTAAAGTAGTGAAAACAGTTTTGAAGAACATTTACAGGGTCTTCCAAAAAGAATTTTACCATTTTAAATTATTATAGTTATGTTAATTATTATCTGAGAAGTATATGACATAAACCAATCGATACAGCAACCATCTGTGTTTCATCTCCCATCTACATTCAAATGTCTTGTCATCTACTGCCTCTAGGAAGCTCTGTAAATGAAAATGATGACTCAACTACAGAGAAGGTATTTTCTGTCTTGAAATTTGCAAAGTTGGACTCACTCATCATTGCTCAACACAAGTTTTCTGCAGGAGCCATTGAATTATGGCTGCTGTGAGAGGAGTGACAACAGATTTGTTGTAGTGATATAGGAAGAATTTGAGTATTTGTCAAATGTGTGCTGTATGATACAAAGTATACATGTTGAGAAATTGTAATGGGAAAATGTCAAACTTGGACATTTTTCCAATATTTTAATGTATGTTACAACATTCTTGGATAATAATTAATATAATTTATTACAATAATTTAAAACGGCAACATTCTTTTTGAAAGACACTGTATTTTTATACTCTTTTTTTTCCTCATACTATTTGATTTAAATCAGAAAATAATCATATTTATCTTCTTTAAAAAAAAGAAAACTTGTTTTATCATAATGAATATAACTCTGTATTTACTTACTGGCATGGCATCATTTTTTAAAAAAATAATGTTTGCATCATTATCAAAGGTACTTTAAATGCAGCATTTTTCTTACAGTACCAATTTTCAGCAGATTTTATCCTGAAGAAATAAGTAAAAATCAGCAAAAAATGTGAATTTGATTAATATAAAATATGATGTAACTTATTATGTAAATAAATAAATAAATTTAAAATATTTAAATGTATAAAACATTCATTTAAAAATTTAATAAAGGAAAAATCTTCCATACATTACTTTAAAACTTACTATTTATAATATATATATGCAAATCTATTAATATTTCTTTAGCTTGCTATTAAAATATTTTATTATTCCACATTATGACTAAAGTAAATGTTTTACATAAATTAAACTAATCAATTATACTAATTTATGTTGAATACTTTAATCATAAAGTGGAATAATGATATATTCTTTAATGATTTAATATGCTTTTTATCGTTGATTGAAAAATGTAAATTCTCTCTCCATTTTTCATTTTTGTGTATATAAATAAATTTTAATTAACATTCAGACAAATTTGAATGTTTTTTGATGAAAATAATTCTAAATCTTTCTCCTCTTCTTTCTTCGGCATTGTTAGTCCTGTTTTTTATGAGATTACTACTATTTACCTAAATGGCTGTTTTATGGCTGGATGTCTTTCCTATTGCCAATCCTTTTCTTTTAATCTGGATTTAAGATCTGCCAGAATCAATAAGTTCTGAGAGGGTTAAGAGAATATGCCAGTCAGAAGTGGATGCTGAACACTATTGTTCAGGACTTTTCAACTTCAATGATTGATTAGAACCAGTATGTTTAGCAAAAATTATAACTGTTATCCTATATCTAATGGTATCATCAAAATTATTAAGATAGAAAAAACAAAAACAAGCTACTAAATGTTGGATCTATTAATTGCTGTGAAATTTGTACCACCTGAATTGACTTGATTTAGTAGTAATTGTCCTAGTAATTAGTGTAAATGATGGAAGTAGTAAAAGTGTATGTGATGCTGTTATAACATCTCAGCAAATTATCTACTTTTTACAATTTAATAAGAATAAATTTTAATTTTTCTCAATTAATTATAGTAATAAACTTGAAAATAACAATTTTAATCAAAATTTTTAATTTGGTATTTTTGAAAATGAAGATTCAAATTATGTAGAATATTTTTTAAGTTCTCATCTTAGAATATCCTGCATAATTAAAGATCAATGATTTGAATGAATTCACAAAGGAATTTAAACAAATTTTAATAAATTAATATTTTTTAATCATTTAAAATATAATTTTTCTAAATTTTTAATCTTTAATAGTAAAATAAATGTTGATCTGAAAGGATAGATCAGATTTATTGTTATTGTAATTTAAACCTGTTTTTAATTAATTGGAATTTTAATAAAAATGAAATAAATAAAATAATTTAAATAATAGCTTATGAATTTATAAAAGCAAACAATTGCATGTTTGAAATGAAGAAACATTTATTCTTTTGTGAATTTAATGTTACTAAAACTTGGTTTATATGATAAATAATTCCAATAATTATGAAGTATAGTAATTTATTTTTATCTTCCCCATGTACTAGATATTTCATATTTCCGTTCAAGGAGGTCGAAATGACCGAAACGTNAAGTCTTAAATGTGTTTTAAAAAACAAACTTTTAAACAGAAGCAATATCTTTCTGATTACATTACAAATAAAAAAGTTAGAAACTTGTAAAATTCTAAAGTTAATGTTATTGATAATGTTATTCTTTTCTTTAACCTATTTTTGAAATTATTTTATAAAGTTATATTAACATTCTGAATGATTTCACATATCTATTAAAAAATGAACTTTTGTTAAAGCTATTAAATTATGAACATTTCAATGCTTAGAAGAATATATATAAAGAATAATAATTTCTAATTTGCATTTTGGTAGTAGTAATCTGAGAATTTTTCATAAAATTTACTCTCAAAGGAGGAAGAGAAATAAGAATAAGATCTATATATTGCATCATATCTTAAGATTTAATAAAATTATTCCTTATTAGTCATTTGATATGATAATGATATGAAATGTGAAACAAATCTATTTTATTAAAAAGTTTAAAGATAAATTCTAACTAGTATAATCAGATCATAAGTACACTTTATAAATTAATTAATCTATAAAATTAAATATCAAATCAAACACATTTTTTCCATATTTTGTATTTTTCTTTCCAAAACCTTTTGTTTTTTCTTTTTCCCCCTATAATTGATGCCTTATGTTATTGATTGCTTTTGAAGCAATTGCTAAGACCTATTTATCTTCACTTTTTGGTTTTGAGACATGAGGTATAAAGAATATATATAAAATAAGTTAAAAAAGTTTCAATAGAATCTACAATGCTTGTTCTGTTTTCCTTGGCTGTTAACGAAGATAAATGCATGCTAAATTTTAATAAATGCATTTTGCTTTGTTAATTTATTAAAATTCTATTACAATAATGCTTTAAAAATTATATATCATGCTTTGGAAAAATAATACACAAAAATTAAAATTAAACTAATCAGTTTGTATAAATATATATAAACTGCTTTAGTTGAAGCACTAGGAGGGAAAATCAGTTTAATTTTAATTTTTGTGTATTATTTTTCTAAAGCATGATATATATTTGATTTATTACCTACAATACATTTCTGTCATTGTTTAGTATCTGCAATAATGCTATTCAGTCAAACTTGTTTTTCATTATGTATGAAAATGATAAATTAGCCAAAACATTTCATCTTTGTTTTTCCTTTTCACATGTCTGGTACAGCATATGACAGACATTAAATTCAAATTTCACTATGTTATGAAATAAACAGACAAGATTTTAAAAATTTGTTAGTATAATATTAACAAATCTATTAATACTAATGATAGCAACAGAAGTATGCTATTAAAAGATGCTTGTATTTTTATCCTCATATCACTTTTTTGAAGAAGTGGAATGATGTATACAAAATATCTGGATTTATTTTGACTTAAGTCCAATATAGAAATGGTTCCAAATGTTCTTATCTGAAATACATTGCATACTATTTGCACACTTGTCATTCTTTTCATATAATCAAATCTATATACTGCATTCAGAATTCTCTTCTCTGAGATAATTATTTAAAAATAATGCAATATATATTTATCAAATTAGTATAATATAAAATGAATTTAAGCTATATTTCATTATGTACTGTTTATTATTTAAATTCTGTTTGTTGCCATAGCAACAATTTCAAATAATAAAACTGATAATGGAATTCTTATTCTAAAGTAACTCTACTATTGCTTTAAACAATAAATGAAATAGACCATCAAAAAGCAATTGTTGACAAATGGCTGGAAAATCCAGAAAAACCAACACATTTCATAGCAAAAGAGCTATAAATTTCCCAAAGTATGCTAGCTGGAGTATTAAATTGGTATTGTAAAACATTGTCCATTTCTTGAAAGCCAGGTTTCAGTGGAAAATATGGTGCTTGCAGTTCACAACTCAACCAGAAGATAATCAAAGTCATTTCCAAAAATTGCAGTATGTCAGTGAGAGATGTTGAAAAAAAATGTGAAAATAATCAATGGTTCAAAGGGCTAAGCACTGTACAACTATGAGATCATATAATAACAAGAAATACCTAAAGTGACTGAAAAACAAAAGAATGTAATTAAAACTAGAGCTTGAAAATTGTATTCTTTAATTGGCAAAAAGAATGCTTGTTTGGTTTTAGATGACAAAACATACACGAATTCTGACTTCTCAACACTTCCAGGCTCATGCTATTATACAGATTTGAAGCAGTTCTTCCAGAATCTCAAACATCAATCAGTGTTGAAAAGTTTGGCCTAAAATATCTGGTATGGCAAGCAGTTTGCCAGTATGGATTGAAAAGTTTGTCATTTACAGCAAAGGAAATATTAGTGCTGGAATTTATATTCATAAATGTTTAAAAAGATCATCATCCTTTTTTAAAAAATCATTGTGGCCAGATTTGTCAACAATATGCTATGCAAAATCCACAGTAAGTTGACTGGAATGGTGCAGTTGATTCTGTACATAGAGACATGAATCCATCAAACATATCACAATGCTGACCAATAGAAAGATTTTGGTTTCTTGTAAAAATAAACAAACAAACAAAAAAAAGAGAACAGAACAGGCAGGTAAAGACACTAAAGATTTTTCTCTGAAGTGGAAAAGAGCAGTCACAAAAATTGAAGGAAATACTGTAAAAAATCTTATGAAGAGCCGTATGAAATGGAGCAAAACTTAAGCATTATAATTAAGTCTTAAATGTGTTTTAAAAAACAAACTTTTAAACAGAAGCAATATCTTTCTGATTACATTACAAATAAAAAAGTTAGAAACTTGTAAAATTCAAAAGTTAATGTTATTAGAATCCATATTTGAAAACAATTAAAATGTAGTTTCTTTTGCTATAAATTCCTTGAATGATTTATTTAAAATAAACAAAAATATTTCAAATTCACAAAAGTATTTATTTACTTTAACTTTTTAATCTATGTATACAATTGTAAATAGGTAAATTTTTTAATATAAATATAATAGACTATTTAGAAATGTTTGAAATTATTGTAATTGTTAACATCTGGAGAGCACAGGTGTTGCAAATTTTTATCGGTTCCCACAGGAGAGAATAAATCTTACCTTAAAATCTATTGTTTTGAAACCAAGAAAATTTAGTTTTATCTTTATTTGAGATAATAATAACAATATTTATTGTTTTAGCATAATAATAATAATAATTATGAAATGCTATATTGATTCTAATAAAAAATAAATGTAAATTTCTGATTTTGTATAACATGGAAAATAAAATGCCTTATGACTTGATTTATTGTTTGCTGTGCATTGAGCCATTTTGATGTTGTCTACAATTTTTATTATTCTAATATTTTAATGTTGCTATTAATTTTATATGTTTTAAAAATCATTTTATTGATTAAATGTAAATTTTTATAAAAAGTTTTTTTGAGCTACTGTTTTTTTTAATATAAAAAAAGAAATCAATACTGTATGTTGTTAATTAAATTTAAAATGATGATAAATTACATCTAAAATTGATTCTTTCAAAAAATTCATTTTTATATATAATTAATTTAAAAAATGTTTTATTGAAAATATAAAAACTTTTTAAATTTTGTAAAAGTTTAATTATATTACAAAAATCAATTCAAATAAAATATTTTACAAACTATTACATTTTAAAATATAGAGATAGGAACATAAATTGTTTGTTGTTATCATTGTATTTGAATAAGTTTTAATCAATAAAATAATGATAAAATTATTGTGTTATTATCTCATTTTATCTATAGATAAAATAATAATTGGGCTTCTCATGTTATGTTATTGTCTAGGAAAAATTTAATTTGCACGTGTATATTTTCTTCAGTTGTGTGCTTAAAATTACACAGTTTATAAAGTAATATGCTGAAAATATATATTAAGATCTACAATCTTGTAAATTTTTATATGAAACTAATTGTTACTGCATAAACCTGAATTTTTTGTAATGTAAAATTTTATTTGTTTTTGTTAACATGAGTATGATGTGAGAGTGTACAGTACGTGTGTGTGTATATATAGTTATTGTAAGAAATTATTGTGCATTCTATTTACTACTACTATTGGTATTTAATTATTTTTGAAACTGGATATGTGCATAAAAAAATCATGCTTAATTAAGGAAAAGGCAACGATCTAGCAAAATACTTTAAGGAGACCGTACAGAGAAAAGATTTATATCTGATTCTATCATGTAAACTGTATTACTTTATTAGGTCACTCATATAAAAGAAATAATTGATGTTGGTTTTGAACAGACTATCATCTTGTTGCCTTATTCGATTATGTCAATAATTCAATAATTTAACTAACTCAGACTACTCTGTTTTATTTGATGTGACTAATTTTTAGATGATGATGATGATGATGATTAAATTAAAATGATAGCTTCAATGATGATAATACCCATTATTGAAGCTATCATTTTAATTTAGTTTTATACAAGTTTTTTTATACCAAAAAATATTTATTTGAAGTTCTTACTTTCCTCTTCCTTTACAGGTATATAATATTTTAAGTTTTCATTTAGGGCCTTGTACATTTAGCCTTAGTTAGCAATAACATTTATAAGATAATTTAGAACTTGTTCCAGCTTTGTATTTAAAACAGTCTAATTTTTATTTCTTTTTGATTGTTAATAATGAGAAAAATAAAAAAATATTTTTTAAAATCTCAAATTTTGAATTTTGAAAGAAATTTCTTACTGAATAATGTAACCTTGTTAGTTTTCTCTGGACTTTTGATATAGTTTTCCTTTGTTAGATATGATCAGTCTATCTGTTATTTTTGGTTTACTAATAATTTTATATCTTGCTTAATATACAGTGCACACTCACTAGTCAAACTCCACTTAATCTGAACCACTTTCATTTGATCTTCCATATTTTTTGAAAAGATGTCAAATTAACATATGTACTTGTCTATGGTCTTTTTTTTTTTTTTTTTACTTCCTTTCTTTACATATAATTCACTAATTGAAATTTTTGCTAATTTAAACATATCCATACCAGAATTGTTCTGATTATCAACAGTGCAAAAATAAAAATTCAATTTTTATAAATCTGGTTATTATGCCATTTGCTCCAAATGCTTTATTGTCATTTACATTTTAATGTTTATTCTTAATTACAATAATAAATTGAAAAACAATAAATCAAACAATAGACATTCAGTAGGTTTACTAGATAGTTTAACTTATTATACAACAATTTTGATTCTAAGATATCTTACAATTTTCTTACTTAAAAAAAAGAAATCTTAAAATTATAAGCATATATTGTTAATTTTATTTAAAATTATCTGCTATTTTATTTTACTTGCTATATCTTACACTATATAAAGACATGCCCCATTTCAGCACAGAATATTTAGGAAAAAAAGTATTTAGTGTGTATTTAACTGTAGCCTATGAAGACTGGGAAATTTGTTAGCCTACATTGAAACTTCATCTGTAAGACATGATGTGATTTTTTTTTTAACTCTGAATTTTGGAGAAAAGTTGCTTCTTATATGCCATAAAATATGGTAATTTTATTAGTAAGATTCATATAATATGCATTCTAGTTTCAATAGTTAGCCTCCTCAATTAATTTTTTTTTATGTTTGAAGGGAAATATCCTACATTTAAAAAGTTTTTATGTTTTTAATAAATTATGTTAATAATATAAACAGAGTATAAGTCTAAAATAATTAGTTATGTATATCCTTTTAATTATAAGATTTCAGCAGTCTCTGATACAATGAGGTTTGAATTTAAGTAACAATTTAAATGAAAATATTTTCATATGTCAAACTGATCTTCATGGTCATATTATAAATTTTTCTGTTAAATCTGGCATTACAATAATTGAAATTAATATTGCTTAAGTGTAATTTCATGTTATTAAATTTTAAAATTATTAGAATAGTTTCTTATTTCTGAATAAAAGATCATTTTTACAATTTTATCTGTCAAATGATAATTGTACAATAAATCACTAGAGTTATTTTATTTTGTGTAGTGAAAAAAACGATATTTTTAGTAACATTATTATTATTTGAGATAAAGAAAAATAGCATTTTAAATTTATTGTATTTTCTGTATTTTTTCTGTTAATAGTGATAATGCTGTATTAATTATATGTACAGTAAGAAAAATTAAAGTAAAAATAATTGAATTAAATCATGAGATTTATAAATTAGATTTTAAATTATAATATTTTTAAAAATAAAAATATATTATTTAATTAAGAATTTTATTGAAAATTCTTTATTAACAAAATCATAATTTCTTACAGACGACGCCGGTATCGTCCTCTATCACCTAGTGATGCAGTTATGCTGGAAAATGGTTCATTGCCCAACTGATCATTATTCGAATGATTTATGGGAGTCTGTTCTGTCTTGGGAATATTAGGACAAAGAAAAGGCATTGATTAATTTTATATCATTGCCTTATTGAGTATTTTTAATTGATGATAAGTCTGAAATTAACAAATACCAAACAAAATTATCAAACTATCATAGATTAATTTATGGAAATAGTTTCTTCAATAAACTCTAGTCACAAAATATCTGTTTCGGAATGTGCCCCTTGTTACCTTGTGATTTTGTTTGTTAAATGTTAGTGGATTTTGTTATATTTTATTATTATTTAAAAATGAATTAAGTTTATAAAGATGATATAAACAGATATTTTAACATCGAAGATTTGTGTGTGCAAAAAATCTTTCTATCAGTATAGCCTGTGATGAAATTTTAGTGTTTGTGTTATAGAAAATACAAAAAAAAATGTAAATACCTTGTACAGTGTAATAATTTAATCCTCTGGATAAAATTTCATTTAAATTTGAATACAGTATAAGAGTTTATAATGACTTGATTTGTAGAACCTAGATGTATACGACTGACAGAAATTGTTCTATTAGAGAGATGTTAAGATAAGTTCTTCCAGTAACTATTTTCAGATATCAAATGTGAAAAGTTACTCTAATTGCAACATAAAAAAAGGATATATATGCATAAATATATAAATAAATATAAATATACTATTTGCAGCAGGACTGCATTCAATGTTAAATGTTCACCTTTTTACTTATTGTTAAGCTTTTGTTTCAGTAAATTTATTTGTGATATGTGCCATTCATTCATTCTGTCATATTGTTGAGAAACACAAATACATAGTTATGTATAATATATGTCATAATTCAGCTTTAATATCTTGTAAATTCATTCAAGGCCAGTTTATGGAAATTATCAAGACTAGATTGAAAGTCATTTTACTCACAAGATCCTCCAAATTCTCAAAATTAATGAAAGTGTACCTGAGTGTCTTGAGCTCATCATCTGATCACAGTCACTAGAACAAAAGTACAATAATTGATTTTAGAGGAGTGCATGAGAAAAAAGTGCAGCTTTTAAAATGAAAAAGAACATTTTATTCATTAAATTTCTTGAAGGACATTCCTAACACATTTGCAAATGTAAACCTCTTCCCCTTTAGTTGTTTTAATTAGTTTTGTAATAATAATATAATTTTTCTTATTTGTATGGCACTGAATTAATAGAATTATGCAATGTACTTCTATTGTAACTTTTTCATATGAATTGAAAAAATTTAAAAATGAAGCCTTTTATTGTCAAATTATTATTTATGGTAAAATATTAAGAATATCAATTATTTTTGCATTAACAATGATGCATCTTAATGATTTTAATTTCATATTGTGCAATAGATCTATAATTAAAATGCAGAAAACTGTACTGTTATTATTATTATTACGCTACTGAATACTCATTAGTATTATTATAAAATTTAATATTAGTACATATTAACATATTATTTTAGTCCTGTTTTTATAAATAGGTAACTTGATGGAAAAATTGTCAAGTATCCAGACAAGCATATTTATTCTAACTCAAGGAAAGTAAATTTATTTTCATCGTAAATATATCTACGGGCAGACCATTGCGCAGGATGTATTGATAAAAAAATTATTTTTTCATAATACAGTTTATTAAATTTTACTATATCAGTATACAGAATAATAACACAGTAGACTGAGAAGGAAGGGTACAAAATATAACTTATATACTATATACTGTAATTTTAATTTTTTCCCCAAATGGAAGAAGGTTAACCCCCAAAAATCCCTGTCTACAGACATAATATGTTTTAAAAAAAGTCTAACTTTTCTTTACAATTGAAATTAATCTTTTAATTGGATTGTTGATATTGCTTTAAAAATTCAGAAGTTCTAAATTGTTTAAAATTTAAATTTTTCATCAATGCAATTAAAAGATAGTAAAGGTAAATTAAACTGTGATTAATCTTTTAATAATACTTTTTAAATAATTCATTTAAATTTAATTGATCTTTTAATTAAAAATTTAATTTTTTTTTATTTTTACAAATTTAAAATGCAATTAAAATATAATTAATTATATACAGTGGTACCTCAGGATACGAACGCCCCAGCATACGAAATTTTCAGGATACGACATGAAATTCGAACATCTTTTTGCTCCACGATACGAACAAAAACTCACCATACGACGTTACATTAGTTCGCATTTTTCATTTGTTTTCCTTACTACAGTTATTTTTTTTAATGTATTACTTGGCTTTAATTTGAGTATGTTTTTCGCATTGGAACGAATTATTTGGTTTAACATGTAATCGTATGGGAAAAGTTGATTCACCTTACGACATTTTCATGATACGATCTCAGTTTCGGAACAGATTAATTTCGTATCTTGAGGTACCACTGTACTTAAAATGAAAAATTATAATTTTGGTTGAGAACAAATGTTTACAGTATTCATTTTTCATCGTAAAAATATTTTTGAAATGATTTCTATGGCAACGACTGTTTAAAAAAAATACTGTATGCTAGTATATTTTAAAGTATAATTAATTAATTAATGAATATAAACTTAGCTGTAGCAAAATCTAATAATTTATTATATAATACATACATAAACGTTTGATATTAAGTAAACCCTCAAAAATTTCAATTCCTTTCTGTATTTATAATTATTATTATACCGCATAAAATTATTTTTGGCAGTTATAATTTTTAAAAATTTATGCATTTTAAATATATACCATTGTAAAAATCATTTGACTGTAATTAAAATCGATGTTTTTTAATATATTTAAATTGTACAATGATCATAATTAATTAAAGAGTTGTTCAGAGAACTCTCTGTAGAAAGAATTATTGGATGAATCTCAACCAAATTTTGCATACATACTGGAGTTAGCGGTTTCGATTTTCGGAAATAATTTTACTTCCGAATTTCAGCCGCTAGGAAAAAGTTTGGCGCTGCGTTTAATGTGCTTATTACATACGTTTTCTAATGAATTGAGAAAAAAGTGCAATAATTTTATTTCCATTACCGATGTGGAATGCGGAATTGGCGATTAAATCAGATATGGCTCTATGTGCCCTCCATCTTCATGCTCTCTAAAAAGTGCATTCGCTTTTCATTTTACAAAGATTCTCAATATTCAAAGTCTGTGTAGTATGCATATTAAGGGCATCAGCACCAAATTTCGCCCTAAGGACGAATTTCAAAATGAAATGTGTACCAAATTTTGCTGAGATTTGTCCAGTAATCCTGCAGCAAACTCTGAACACTTTTTCTTTAATTATGCTTACTTCTGTACATAAAATGAAATCGTAATGATTTCTCGTCATTTCGCTTGAGCCTATTATTTAAAATGAATGCAATACAAAATTAATTTGTGGTAGCCTACTTGTTTGCACTAACTCAGTTTTGACAGAATATAATTTGGAAATGAAAATACGTGTAATTTCTAAATAAAATTTTTATAATTTAAAATTTAACCGAGAGAACTATTTTTAATTTCGTAAATAGATTGGATTCTAAATCCTGTGTAAATTGCCACCAGATATTTAAAATAAATTAGTACTGACCTTTGCAGAATCCCATAAACTACAATATGTAATATATGAATACAGAGCGTTTTTTAAAGTTAGGTTAAATAGGCATGTGCCTACGGCGGCAGTGACTGTAAATATATAAAAAGTGTTTCGGGATAAAATATTTTCGTTACTAAGTGAAATTAACTTATTTTTATTATGTAAAAAAATTAATGTTCAAGAATTATTATACATTTAATGTTCTATCCCAATCGTGAGCAATTTGCGACCCGTGAGGCCCCAGGGCTTGGAAACGTAATTTTGTTTTCCAGTTTTCTGCTCTGTGGCATTATGCAACCCTAATTAGGAGAAACTTGGGAAATCCCGCTCGCATAGGTATCGCGAAACAGAATGGAATTATCAATGTGTAATTGTGTGGTCTGGTAGCAAATGTCATCATAAGTCTATAGTCACGATGGCCGAGCGGTCAAGGTGGCAGCCTATCGCTTTGGGGGACCGGGATTGAAACGCTTTCAGGTGGTGGTCCATCCGGATATGTCAAGCACCACCCTCATCACCCAGCCGGACTATTGGGGTCGTGGCCGAATCCATAACGGGCTTGCAAGAAGAGGCCCTCAGTGTCTACACGGCTGAAAGAATTAAAAGTAATACTAAATGACGAAAATTGAGTAGACATAATAAAAAACTTCATAAATTCTAACAGCTACATCAGAAAATCACAAACTAGAGGCGTTAGAAAGCGAAAATCTAAGAAGACCCAGACGAAAATACAAAAATTGATCACACAAAGACTGCAGAAGTGTATAAACACCAAATAATTATAAATGTCACTACAGTATTGTTATATATAAATCATAAAGTAAAATTATGAGTGCCAAACCCTAACCATTGAGCGGTAATACTCGACATAATCGGGCATTCCCGCTCGATGGATAGCATTGAAAATTCATAAAAGTTTAGTTCACACTGAACGCGATTCGCTAGCGAAAGCGAAAAACAGCGCAAATAACACGTCAGACAGACATGACGTCGTTTCAGGCGAATTTTACCATTTCGCGAATCGCTTCGAAGTTCGGAACTGTCGAGCTTTTTCGCTAGCGAAAAAATTTCGCACCAATCGTATTCGTATTCCCGCTAGTTGTCACATGGTTCTTGTTGTTTTCAAGATGGCTACGGAAACTTTCTCACGCAATAGATTACATGTTGTAATTACGGATTTTAATATTTCTCTTACCCAACATCGTTTTCTTTTCGACTTATTTTTCTTTCTCAATAAATAAACAAATGTGATTAACGACGGAATATCGGAAGCGGTCATTTTGTTTTTCGAGATGACGTGTTCACTTACTTGCAAATGATTGGCTGTTTAAAATTCTCAATCGCTTTTCGTTTTTAATTGTAGGGTCAATTTCGCTATGCGAATAAAAATCGCTTTTCGCTATTCGCTCAGTGTGAACTAAGCTTAATTAAAATTTTTTAAATAACTTGTATGCAAAGTAAATAAAACCAAATTGTATAGAACACTTTAAACTTATATTTTACTAATAAAGTTTCGATGTTTATATAAATTTGAGTATGTGTTTTAGTTTTCTCTATGTGACATGGCATTATTCTACTTTCCCCTAATCCCCTAAGCCGATATTCGTGACCAAGAACATTTTAAGCATTTTACTTATTTACAAAATAATGTAAAAAGCGTTACTAACGACGTTTTTCTATTAAAATGAAAACAACAAAACAACACCGTGTTTTTTTTAGCTAATTATGAGTAATGACGAAAGCGAAAACTACAAGTAGCAAAATGTCATCCATAACCTCTTTCATACGTTAACATACTGAGCAAATTCACGGCAGTATATACCGTACAGTACCTAGTGTAACTACCTACTAACTTACACTTTATCTATTTAACAAGTATAACTTTTCCTACTGTTATGAGATTTTATTTTAAAAATAACTTTTACATTGTTAATCATAATATGTGTAATTGTGTGTGGCGCTATCTGTTAAGAGATTTTATTATTAAAAACTTTTTATATTATTAATTATTATAAAATAGCAAAAAATTTAATTTCGAGGGTAGGGATGAGTTTTATTTTTAAAAATATATACCTTGTATGCTAATAACGAGGAAAATCTACAGCAGGTGCGACTCCTCTCGCGATATCATACATGATCCCCTCTACCTTCCCCTCCCTCGACCTTTAACTATCAAAATTTAATAGTATAAATGCCCCATACACAGGAGCTACCATGCCAAATTTTTATTATTAATTATCCCGGCCTAAGATACTAAACGAAATAGATGTCAACACGCGCGCGCGCGCGAAATTTTTTCCGTTTTCTCGATATTTTTGAGTTCAGGTGGTCTCAAAACGTGATTTGCAAAAAAACTGGAAGGGTCAAATTCGACATGATTCCAATACTTTCCTCGTTAGATATACATAGC